TTGAGTCAGAATACGCCCGTGTAGACGCTAGGTTTGTTATTGCAGGATATTTTATCATATACCTATAAAGTGCGGAAACCTTCGAAATCGAAGTGGAGGGCTCAGTCTCAAGCTTTGTAACCGATGAGCAACCAGTGACGGTGACTTCCGAAAGTTTAGTAAGTTTTTCATGCTCTCTAAACTTTTTAGATTTGCCAGCAATGCCCGTGGTTTCTATACAAGAAGATAAAGTATGTTATCAACCCAGAAACCGAGGACATCGACATGCTGAGGTTTGTTTTTCTCCCGCGAAGTTTCCGTATTTTAAGGAACTCGTTACCGCCTTTTGAACAACCGTAGCCTTGCTTTTGTATTAGGCCTGGTCATCGCACCTGTATCAAACTATATTGTGTATACGACCTTTGCTCGTCAGTTTATGCGGAAATTGCAAGAAGCCCCGTTAAAAACTGATTGTTCGCATATATTTAACTTCCATTCGTAGAGGTTGGGAGGAACGTCCCGTGGCGGAAATTCTTGATGCCAGGCCGCTAAACGAAACCGAGGTTGAAGAAAGACGCGAACTGTACGGTGAAAATGACATTCCTCTCCCTCCACAGGGTCTTTGCACATTGCTTTTGAAGGAGGTGGGCAAGACCGTATCTTACAAATTTACTTTCACTGTTTTCTGCGTCAAAATTCGACTGGTTAATTTTTAAACGAGCAATTTGCATCACGCTCTTTTCCATCTATGCTTGGTATATGTTTGTTAACTTGGATTTTTTGTTGAATCAGGGCCTCAACCCCTTCTACGTCTTCCAAATATGTAGCTGCATACTTTGGTTCAGCGACGACTACTACTACTACGCTTCGTGCATTGTCGTCATTTCTGCATTTTCATTGTCATGGCAGCTGTACGAAATACGCAAGGTGAGTTATGCCTAGGACCTGACTTGGATACTACCTTTTAGGGTATCACATTGCGTTTGCTTTTAAAAGGGATTTCATCACTGAATACTGCGATATTTGAAATATGGTTTATTGTACAATTAAAACTCCTATTTTAAGTCAACTCCTTTCCACCTTAAAATGCGTTTTAAATGTCACTGTAACATAATTAGGACTTGGCCAGGCGAAAGTTTGGTCTTATATTTTAGTTCATAAACTTAAGCAATTTCCAGCAAAAAAACCGCAAAATATTTTATAGAAATTTATATAAAATAACGCTATGCAATGTTCCAGGATCCATGGCCACATACACGAGTTATTAGGGATATGTTGGAATAACAGCACTAGGAAGGCTGATCCCTCCGAAATGCTTTCGACCACGAAAGAAGGAATGAAAGGGGAATAATTTGATGCAGTCTGGGGCGTGTGATTAAAAATAAGTATACTCTGCAACTGCTCTTGAAACCAATTCAGTCAATCAAACCACAATTAATCACTGAATGTATCAAAAGTTACTCAATGCCAGGGATGTTTCTTAGTTAATGACATACGCATTTTGGTTTTTCAGCACTACTTTGTTTCGAAGCAGTTAGAAGTTTTCGACGATTGTGAGAAACAATGGAATTAGATTAGCTCGTCTTTTGGAAGACCTTTTTTAGTTTAGTTACCAAAGTTGAGAAAGATAAATCCAAAATAGAGGCTAGTTCACTTATAGATGGTGGTTCGTTATGCACTCGACACAGTGTTATTGCAAAATTTCTTGGATGTAACCGCTTTAAAAGTTGCAGAGCTTATTCAGCATACAGATGGCGGAATTCGACTAAGCGTGTTAGCGGGTAACGCCTTTGGCATTTTGAAGAAATGCAGTTCATTCTTCAACAAAAGCCAGTTTTTGAAGGGTATGGGAGTCTTTAATCGGCATTTTCGCAGAACCTAGACTAGCGTTCCAAATCAGCCAACAGTAATGCTTGCAAAATAGCTAGAAATCGGTTGTACACCGTTACGTAATCGTCCGCTGGGAGCGGGAAAGGCTTAGAGGCAAGCTTTACCTGGTTTTTGAGAAACATCATGTACTTTGCTGCTCTTTTATAACCGCAATCTTATTTGTAAAAAATTTTGAAGTGCTATCAAACATGTTGGTTTTGCAAATACCAAAGGAAAAAAACTATTGGTCTGCCTATTAATGGGCAGTTATGTAAACTTTAAGATCGTGAATACAAAGTGTGTGTTTCATTTAGATTGGTCTCAATCAGCCTAAGGATTTGATGCGGAGTGTTGTTAGAAAGAAAATCGCCTAAACAATCAGGAGGGGGAGGAAGGAGTCAGGCTGCTGTAGCACGTAATTGGCGCTTAATTTCCTTGCCGTCAACAAGCAAAGGCGCTTTAAACTACGACAACATGTTAGCAGTCGTGGTCTGAAAACTATGTGACAGACTCCTTACCTGGAGCTAGGTTCTAGAAGCTTTACAGTGCGACGGTGACCAGTCACCTATCGACCGCAACAAAGAAAATCGTCCTTACTCCA